AATAAAGCACAAGTTAGATACTGGAGGTAATAGCCACTGTGCAAGACGATCATAAAGAGGCAGAGTTAAAGAGGCCACGGAAAGCAGGGAGAGATGGGGGGGGTAATTGGGAGGAGGAGGGGGAGGGACGGGAGGAAGCTGTGGAGGTCTCATTGTGTGCAGCTGATGAATAGTGGGATTCAGATGGTGGTGGGAGGTGGCCAAGCACAATAGTGAAAGTAAGGGCTGTGTTTCCAGTTTTCCTTCTGCCGAGGATCCTTTTACCCTCACTGTGCTGTTGCCCCAGCAACCCAAATCATGGGTTAGCTCAGGTTTTAAACACCACCTTGGGTTTGCTGGCTTAGATCACATGTTGCATTGTTTGGATCTGTGTATCCTGTGATTATTACACTATGATTAGTCACGCTTTTCTTTAAGACGTGGGGTTTTTCATGCCCTCGCAAAGTTGCCCATCCACGTAGAAGGTTGTAATGTAGATATAGGCTAGCCGTCTTTTATGGTATGTGTAGGAAGAAACAGCAGGAGAGCAGCGTCATAGAGGTTTACGCTCCATTACGTAATGTTACGCTAACAGGGTTCAGTTTATTTTTAACTGCAACGTGTCCCGTGTAGTATTTGGCTTGATCACAGGTCTTTAACTTTTGCACAGAATGAAAGTGAAAAATGAAATTAGTGACTTTTTAAAATCTGTAATAGTCGGCATTGATGTCTGCATAAAAAAAAATCCAGGCTATAGATGCTGGATTTTTTTAAGATTCAAAATTCAAGATTCGTTATTCGTCACATGCATAGCAGTGAAATGTAACCTGACACGCTCCTCGACTTGTGCAAAAGGGGGAGAGAAGAAGAACATTATATATTATATACATTAGGTGAATGTGCAGTAGCAGCAAGCAGGTGAATTTTGTACTTTTTAAAAATGTCTTAACCTCCATGAATATTAACCTTACTTTTTTCAGTCCAGTGAGGTCATGTGATTGTTAAAGACAGATGACTTTTCAAGACTGACCTTATGGACGTTTGTTTCACTACTGAATAAAATAAAAACTGCCATTTATGAGTCAAAACTTTCAGAAAATAACTCAGAATTGAAACATTAAATTCCAACCAAATTTGAGCTACTAAATTCAAATTTTGAGATAATAACCTAAAAATGATCTGGATTGGGTCAGAAATTTTAGAAGAACTTTTATCCATCCATCTATTTTCTTCCTCTTATCGAGTTGGGGTGTTGCTGCGGGAGGCAGGGAACATACTAGACCCTCCCAAATTATGGAATTTGTTGCCTTTGCACATCTTACATTTAAAAGACCCTCCTCTTCTGCTTTTCTTTGACCCAGTTTGATACATTGATGTAATTTTTACGCTTTTTATTCTTTTACTCATGGTTATTTGCGTTTTTGTTCTGCATTGTTTTATTTTATTTTGTCATTTTTATGTATTTGATATTAATTTTACTTTATTCTGATATATTTTTATTTTATGTTCAGTGCTTATTGTTTTTTAAGTTCTTTATAAATAAAGTTGGCTTGAGAGATTGACATCGTCACAGGGATAACAGAGAGACAGATAACCATTCACTCTCACAGTCATACTTATGGTCAATTCAGAACCACTGAGATAACCTAACATATGCATGACTTCAGACTGTGGGATAAAGCTGGAGTACCCTGAGATAACCCACACGAGCACGGATAGCGTGCACAGAAACTGTTGCCTCAGAATTTCTGTGAGGTAACAGTGCCAACCACAGCATCACCGTGCTGTCCCCATTCTGTCTCATACCTTTCAAAAAACATATCCAGTTAAAACAGGACGTCGTCGTGAAGTTCTCACAAAAATGTCACATACTAATTTGAATCCAGATATCCTTTTAGGATCATGTCACGGAATTTTCTGCCTCGCAGAGGTACACAGTCTCAGACGGCCCACAAGTTCATGAAAATGCAATAAAGAATCACTGGAATAATCCTGTGCTGTGAGATGAAAGGTTCAATTCCTTATTAAAACCTTTTTAAGAAATTGAAAATCAGAGAGAGTGTCGTGAATCACAGAGTTTAGGAACAAAATTCAGAAACGTAGCGCCGTCCAAATAAACCAAAAGCAAACCTTAATGTTGGCTGGTGAAAATAACAAGAACCATAAACACAAGCCAGAACATTGTGCAAGCACACAGGCTCTGCAACAAAGGACAGAGGAAGAGTGGGGCTTAAAAAAACACACAGGTCATTAGAGGAAGTGGACACAGGAGGGTAACGGGGGGAAAAGACCAAAGGAAAAGAGAGGGAAATACAAGCTGTAACTGAACCAAAGGATTAATAATATGAAAATGTAAACAATAAATAAACTAAAAGCCAAGTGGAAAATAATTATTAATGTTATACAGTGTCCATAAGTTTTGAACTCATGGTCCAAAAAAGACACAGTAGTTTATTTCTTGGGTTGTGTGAGAGGGCAGGATCATTCGTCCTTTTGCTTCATGGAAGTGCCAGATCTAAAGAGCCAATAGTGCTGTGGTATTTCAGCTACAATGTCCATGTGTTTGGCTGTAATGTCCTATTAAGGGTACATTTGTCTACTTTTACCTTTACTTCCTTTGTAACCAAGGTACTTCTGAAAATGATGTCCAGGAAATCAGAGAGGTTTAGAAAAAAATCTGAATCTGAAACATACAAGCTTTTAGATCAGGTCATAGTCACTCAGGAAACTTGCAGCACTGCAGTCTATTTCACGGTGACTAGCATTGATTAGCACTGAACAGCTGTTAATGTTCTTCATGTAATATGTTATATACAATACTGTATAAAAGTCTTGAGCTGCCACCTCTGTATGCTTCAAAGGAGCCAAAGTTGTTGTAATTATTTTAAGCAGTCTCCAGGCTTCCTGACGGTCTTTCGAAGTTTTCTCTAGACGGTAGCTGCTTTTTCACTCATTTTCAGTTCACTCCTTGTACCTGACTATTTTCAGATGGATTTTTTTTGTTTTTAAGCTATAGGACTGTAACCCAGAGTAAAATCTGTTTTACTAGCATTTAGTAAATTCCTGCACTTATTTCCCGCCATTGAACGCATCGCAGGTACATGACTCCAACCACATGACTTTGCTCAGCCAATCGGATGGCATGTGGGTTATGCCACGCTTACCTGTGAATCAATAAGCATAAAAAGGCAATGAGCTAAAGGGATGAACTGGTGTTGTGTCTACACATAACAGACAGCTTAGCAAAGAACCCATTTTAAATGGTAACTTTGGGCCGTTTGTTACTAGCAGCCTGTTCCACAAGCACACAATTGCTTGCGTTTCTTTAATTAAAGATAAGAAAAATGCTAAAGATTACAAAGTTTGACAGAGATAAAAAAAAGTTTTAAGTACCTCCTTGAAACTTTGAGGACTCTGGACAGTGATAATGATCCCAACACACTGTAAAACATACATAAATAGAAAGAGCACACAGTTGAACACTATCAGTCATGGACCGGCTTTGCCAGACCCGGACGTCAACATTATTGAAGCAGACAACATCCAAAGAAGAGCTTTGAATGTCCTTCGAGAAGCCTGGAGAACTGTTCCTGAGACT